AGGAGGCTCCTCTCCTCTCCTCCTGACATGCCCTCAACTTCACCCTCCGGTGCCAACTACCACAGGGACCTGCCTGGAGACGACAAAGGCCTGGGAAGGAGCTGGGACACATGGGTTGTTTTTGGCAAAGCTGGAATTCTGACTGTTTTAAATCAGCAGCTGAGCACAGGAAGAGCACCTGGGATTGTGAACAAAATCACGGCAGCATAGTTCTGCACCTTGCCAGGCTGAGGGTCCAGTGGGGAAGTGGGGAAGCGGGCAATGGCTCCTTCCCCGTTCTCCCTGCCATGAGGCACTGGAGGGAAAACAATGAACAGAACAGTGGCAATGCTAGAGGACACTTCAAGAACCAGGGACAGGGACGGAAGTCCAGGCCTGTCAACAGGAGGCACTGCTAACCTGAAATAGTCACTCGGCGGGTGGTGCGATGAGGGCTCCCACCTCTGCCTCAAAGTTCAGCCCTCCCCAATTCCCAGCAACCCTCCAGGACTCTTCTCCGCGACCAAGGCGTCCACAAAGTCCTCCCTGCCCACTTGCCTCCCCCTATCCCAGGGCTGCCCGGGTTCTGGGTGGGCAACCCCTGGGTGCCCAGTGAACTTACAGCACTGGCCAGACTCCCTGAAGCAGTCATTACTCTTGGTCGGAACTGCCTGTTTGAGGTCTGCATTTTTCAAACCTCTTGACCGGTTCTGCATGTTCTTTCTTTGCCATTTCACCTCTAACATACTATATTATCTACTTATTTATGACATGTATGCACATTAGCTCTCTCTCAACAGAAGGTAAGATCCTCAACGCACCATCCATGTTTTGTTCATTGCAACACCCCAAGTGCTGAGGCAGTAGCTGGAGCGTACAACCAGGGCAGGGGTGTTTGCTGAGTGAAGGAATAAATCATTTCCCTCGATAGACTACTTGCCTCCTGAGATCAGGACCTGTCTGGACCCTGTAACCCAGGGTGGTTATGCCCCCAACCCCCAAAGATGTGGGTGTCCTAATCCCCAGAACCTGAGACTATTACCCTGCATGACAAAGGGACTTTGCCAATGAGAATAAACTGAGGATCCTGAAATGAGGAGCTTATCCCGGATTATCCAGGTGGGCTCAACACAGGCACAGGGTTCCTTCTAAGAGGGAGGGTCAGACTCAGGGAAGGTCCATGGAGGGGGGTAGATTCAGAGATCAGAGGGGATGTGAGAGGAGTGGGGCCTGCCACTGTCGCTGGCCTGGAAGGAGGAGGGGAACCAGGCGTCAAGGACGCAGGAGGCCCCTAGAAGCTGGGGGAGGCGAGAAAGGAATCCTTCCCAGAAGGAACCAGCTGTCAATGTCTTGGTTTTAGCCCAGTGAAATCCATTCAGGCTTCTGACCTCCACACTATAAGGTAACAAATGGGTGTGGCTTTCAGCCACTAAGAGTTTGGTGAGGAGCTGCACCTGCCACGGGAAAGTGACACGCCCGGGGTAACAGTGGTTAGCAGCGATGTCCACAAAACGCATGCTATAAATTACTACATAAAACGTGGCTTTTCATCCTGAAATAAGTTTTAATCCATAAAAACAGCAAAGGCATGAGCCAACGGTTACGGTGGCTGGTGTTATTTTCATTTAGTCTTTCTCTTCCCTTAAGTAACAAATTTTGACTCAGGGATGCTTATGATGATATTTCCTATGCTGGCAGGTCTTCCATTTAACCTACTGAGGCAGTTTTGTTAATCAAATTATAAATTTCCTCCTCATTAAGCCCTAAAGCAAGATTGAACAAAAAAAGGAGGAAGAAATTTTTAAACGAAGACCGCTGAGTCTCAGCAAACGCATGGTTACTCCATTTAAAGTTCCCGTGGGCTTCCTGCGGCCGGCTGCTGCGGTGCAGGCTACAGAACCTGCAGCAACTCCGCGTCCTGAGCACTTCCAAACGCTCCATCCCCACGAAGCTGCCTTTAATGCTAACCCGTGAGAAGAGAGAAGCCACAGGCAATCGCTGAGGACACGCTTCTGTGTCCAGTGAAAATTGAAATGGGCTGGATTATGGGCCGAATCTTTTCGGTCTCACAAACAATCAAAAAGAAAACAACTTTACTCAGCTCTTTGCTTCCCAACCCCCCTCAGCCTACACCAACCAGGCCTGACATCATTTTCACCTCAGACACCAAAAACTCCAAAAGACCAGAGATGAATCACTTTCCAGTATTACTGATAAACTGTGATATATGAGATTCTTTTCAATTTATGTTAATACATCAGGAAAGAATAAAATTATAAACAGCATATGACTTTTTTTATATGGGAAAGGAAATTTGGTTTTGGCCCTGTGGAAGATATATATATCAGGAAACTTTAAAAAGATCTCAAAATATGCTACCCAACAGAATTTTAATTTCTTTCTGCAGTGTACAGCATGTCCTCTGACAGGTGTTCCTGCCCTGCTCTCTTCCCGACAGGACATAGCTGAAAAATCGAACAGCAAACCCACAGTGCTCTCAGCTCTCCTCTGTACACATTTATGGAGTGGCTGCTACGTGTGTGATGCTGAGCTGGAGAGACAGGGTCCCCAACACCCAGGGGCTTCTGCCTGCGTGGTGAAGGGTGAGCATTACAACTTCCCAGCAGGTGCACCAGGTTCACATAAGGGGCTTCTGCACACTCATTAACCAGATAAAATTTCTTTACTGCAAAATCCTAAACCAGAGATTCATTAAAAGAAAAAAACTGCAACTAATTTATTGCCCTATTAAAAAATGCTGTATTTAAATATAAATACTAGGACAACTGAAGTCAGAGGACGTTCTTTCCGGACAGCCAGAAGCTGGATCCCTGTGTGGTAGGTGTGGCTGTCGGTTCAGCTGCCCACCCCTGCTCCCTTCCATCTGACCCACAGCCTTGGTGAGCTGGGTGCCAGGCCAGGCAGACAGATAACGACCGGGACACATGGTCTCGGGGAACATTTCCAAATGCAGTTTCTCAAGTCTGTGTTAAACTGGACACTCTCTTAGCCCTGCATTTGCAACAAGCCACGGATTGTCTGCCATTCTGCTGTTTTCCGCCACTGCGAACCCAGCGTACCTGTTAACGTTGGTTTATCTGCCTTCACCCTGCCCGTGCTGTCAGTCTAGTGCCTTACAGCCCAGCTAAGCTGTGTCCTAAACCCACACCTCACGCATCACTGCAGTGCCTCTAGCACAACAAGTCACGTCTCTGAGCAGCAGCAACCAATCAGTCCCTGAAAAGAAGACAAAATTCACAGTTGGCAGCACCTTCCAGCAGTTCTTAAAGGAACCTGGCAAGTCTGAAACGTCCAGCACTCTCTGACACCCTCCCAGGTAGACCCTTCCTGAAGTGCCAGGTGAGCTCAGGCGGCCACATGTCACCATCGAAAGGAGGAGTCTCAAAAGAGGTTTATTGGACAACTGAAGGCTGCAATCTAGTAACACACACAAAAAAAGCTACAAGAGTGTTTAGCCTACAAGAACACGAATCTGCTCCAACCAGCACAAAACAGCAGGCCCTGGCAGATGGAAACACTGAGCTCCAAGGCCAGCTGGAGAGAAGCCATTTAACGGCAGAAGGTTTCAGAACCCATGGTCCAGACACTCTTCTGAAGTCTTCTCCATGGAGCTGGAAACCAAGTTGAACCAGAACGTACAATTCCCCAGAGAACTACCAGCCTGACTTTCACACTAGGGGGACAGTTCTGGGGATAGCATTGCTACAACCAACCGCCTCTGGTTCATCGAAGGCAGGTCGCCAGGGGCACGCCCCTCAGAGGTCCCTGATGAGAGGCACTTTAAGAAATATCTTTGTGAGCTGCCCAAAAAACTTACCCCTTCACCAAGTTAATTATTTCATGTTTCCTTCTTGTTTTCTATAATAAAATTCAGTACTAAATTCATAGATAAGCGTGGATAGCTCTAATAACACACACCTCCTCCGGGTTTCTGCTCAAACGTCAGAGATCTGCCCCAACAACCTTTATAAAACAGTCCAGCCCACGCTCCCCAGTCCACGCTCCCTGCCCTTTTCTTGTTTCTCCATGGCACCTGTTTACCATGTGACATCCTTTCAGTTTTATCTGTGTGCTGTCTTTTCCCACTAGAGAGTAACCACCCCGATGGCAGGCGCTGGTTCTCCTGGACCCCCAGAGGCCGTGCCTGACAACATTCGGCACCTACTGAATGCTCCCAACAGAGTGACTAAAAGAATGGATGACTACATAAAACTCTACGAGCTGCATGTCAACCTTCTCCATGAACTCGAACTTTGGTTCTGAGTTAGATACCCTTTGTCTATTGTGGTTCTGATATGTTTACTGTGTTTTTGGTTTTTTAAGTAGTTTTGTAAACCGGACTCAATCTTTTGTACAATGAGGCACGAGATAGTAGGGAGATGAGTATAGACAGAAAAAAGGATGACCTAATTATCGAACAGTCTGCACTGTCACAGACGGTAAGGTCTCTTAGGATAAAAGAGGAAATGAGCCAACCAGTATAACAATTAAGTCGAGTAATCTTTATTCAGAAATTGATCACTTCTTCCCTTTGGCTCAGTCATGCTGTGTTGACTTGGTTGGGGTGATGTTTGATATTTAAAAGGCCAGCCCCCCCAGCACCCCTCCTGGCTCTCTGGCTACCCCCACAGTCCCCACTCGTCCACTCCCTGGCCTCAGGCCCCAGGGGTACTTATCATGAAAGGTTGTGCAAATGTGTCAACATCGTGCTCACTGTCACTCTCGGATTCTTTAAAAGGAAATGAATGAAAAGTTTCCAGGAATTTCAGAAATATATTACACCTTTCCCCTAAAACACACCTCCATATATGGAGCTACTGAAAATACAATTCCATGACAATCAGAGGCAGGAAAAGAAATGCATGAGATTAGACCAGTTTTATGCTGAACTCTACTTAGGGAGTCAGTTAAAGCTTTGAAAACCTAAGAGGGCAGGAGAGAAAAAGGGGGAGTGTCAGTGAGAAGAGACAGTATTCAAGAGGTGAGGGGAGGGTCCTTACCTGTTTCACGACAGTCACCGTCCCTGGAGCCATCGCGACCACGGAGGCCACGGCTGTGGCATCGTGGGTCTCGGTGCCCAGCTCAATGATCTGCTGGAGGATGTTTACAGCTGTGGGGTCCAGTCGGTCACCTTATGGGGAAGAAACAAACAGGACACCATTAAGGCCATTGATTTGAAGGTCTCTGAACGCAAAACCAGCCCACGAGAGGCCACTCCAGGGCAATGCCCTCTGCAGGGGGTAAATGGGTTCTTGGTAACAGCTCACTATGACAACAGAAAGAGTCTATATGGCCCTTTATGGCTTATGAAGCACTTTCTGCAAGAACATCCCCAGACCCCAAACAACCCTGTGAGGCGATGACACTGTGACAATATTGTCCCCATTTCACAGATTAGGTCTTTCCACACAAAAAGTCAGAGCTCCAGCCCAGATGTTCTGAACCCAAACATGGTGGCTCAAGACTGACTCTCAGATGGGAGCCCTGAGCAGCACCAGCCACAGCATCAAAGGCAGAGGTGGGTCCCCGTGAGCACACAGGGCAGGTGGTCAGCGAGAGTGTGTCACAGGTTCTGAGCAAAACATCCCAGGATGTGTCAACTGTCAAACCGGGGGGCTTTACAGTTCCAGACAAATGTAAGCCTGGGTTCTATCTGAATCATCTCAGAAGACTGGAATCCATATCATCAGGTGGCTACGGAGGATACCTGCCTGCTCTCACCATCTGCCTGGCCACCTATGACTCCTGAGCACGGCACCCTGACCCTGGCTACTCATTCACTGAAAGGGAAGTGATTGCCTGGTCTCCACTTCAGCAGAGTATTATGACGTCTCCGCCTATGGCTGCATCCTCCTGGGTGAGCTTAACACTCCTGTGAGTCAGTCAGTAAGAGACAGGGGAGTCGTGTTCTATGTAAGGGAAAGATGTGGCCTGTGACCGACACAATGATGATGTTAGTGACCCAAACACATTCACTGCGCACCACCCCAGGGGCCCCCTACATATACACACTCACAATCAATCCCCCCCACTAGGAGGTGTTTCAATTGTACCTTGCAGCCAACGACTCTGACCATCCAAAGACCAAATAAGACATTTACCTTAAAAACTCACTGAGATAAGGTTGAATCCAAAGAATAAATAACACGTTTACCTTAAGAACTTACTGAGATAAGGCATGACCCCTCATCCATTTACTCCCTCAGTGACCACTTCTCAAGCCTGTCCTACAGCCAAGAACGTGGCTCCCAGGGGATACAGACAACAATCTAACTCACCTCCCCCTCCTTCCAGGGCCCACAGGCCCCCGAGACAGATCTGTAAGCAAATCTTTACAGCACCTGAGTAGTTCCATATTGGGAAGGCAATTCGGGGACACTGTCACAGATTCGAGTGGGTTCCTGGCAGGTGACATATCTGAATGCTGACGATGAAGGTGAGTCTGCCAGGAACAATGCTCGGGTGCCGGGGGCGGGGGGCAGACCACATCCCAGAGAGCACTGGAGCGCGTGGGGGAGGAGGCAGTGCATGCTGAGCTGCAGGCCTGGCAGGGAAAGCACCGTCCGCAGGTGGGCAGAGGGCAGGCAGCCAGGCCAGCACGGCTGCCGAGTCTAAGCTACATGCCGAGAGCTAGGAAGAGACCGGGTACCAGAGAGGTTCCAGAAGAAGTGGGCTGCCCGTGGGGATGGAGATGGGTGGGCTGCCTCTGCCGGGAATGAACCATCACCAAAGCCACTGACTGTGAAGGGAGGAAATAAATCCACACAAGGCCTCAGCTCCCGGAAAGGCATTCAACAGCAGGGGCCTCCACTCTCCCATCCCAGAACCCCCCACTCTAACTGGCTACAAGGTGGGGGCCCTGCCTCCGGAAGCCCTTCCCGCTCAGCAGCAGCGAACACAGCCTGGCGACTCACCTTCCCTGGAGCGACTGTCCCAAAGGAGTTTCTTACAACCTGGGGTTTAGGATTTAAGAACTGGCTGAAAACGGCGATTTCCCAGCTCCCACCTCCTGTCACCATTTACTGCTTTCTTCTTCATCCCCTTGCCTGTCCTCTGTCCCCCAGTACAAACAGCACTATGGTCTGTTACACAAGCTTGGGTTCTGTGGTTCTGTTCATGTTCTGAAAAGAGCATTAAGCAAATGTTTTCTAAGCATAATGCCCCAGTCAGCACTAGGCTGCCACCATGGTTTGTTTTTTTAAAAATTGATCTCATATTTCAAAATGATGGCATTGGACATAAAAATCCTGATTCAGAAGAAGGGGAAGCAGGCAGTCCTGGCCACCACAAGGGCATCGGCCATGCCCTAGGTCTCAGCCCTGCCACCCCTGCACTGCCTGCCTGGCCCTGCAGACCCTGGGACCAGGCCCCTGGAATGGGTGACCGTGCAGGGTGGAATGGGGAGGGCACCCCAGTGAGAATCCAGGAAACCCAGATTCCAGGACCAGCTCCAACCCCCAAAAGTGGGTGTCTCTCAGCCAAGCACCTGTGACGAGACCTCTGTCTATAAGTGGGAAGCGTGAGCCCTGCTGCTCTCGCAGGCTGTCCTGAGCATTCAAGGTGACACCGCACCGAGAAGCCTGGCAGTGCGGCTGTGAATCCCACCTCTGCGGTGGCCCCATCGGTGTGGCTCTACTTCAAGAGGCAGAGGTTTCCAAGCCGGGCAGCAGGGCTGCAGTCTGAGCCCTGGAGCAGGGATCTGGAAGCTGATCACTGACCGACCACTGACAGGCCTCACCCATTCGCAAGCTCAGTCACTCCACACGTCTACCACACACCAGCTCTGAGGGGTCAGGGGAGAGGGAACGTCCTCTCACCACTCTCAGAGGTGTATCTCAGGTCCTGGAGTGCGGCCACAGCAGCCTGAGTCCCCTGAACGTCTTCTTCGGCTTCTGTGATGTGCAGGTACTGGGTGGAGGGCTCCTCGGGGGTTTCTGTTGCTGGCTAAGTAAACAGAACACCTGAGTGACCGTCTGGAAGACCAACTGCCACCCAGAATCCCAGGATAATGTATTAAGACAAAACAAAAGCACTCTGCAACATCTTTTATCCCTGAGAAACCAGCTGTTCCCATAAAAACCCTATTTTCCAAGGAGAAAGCTTCTCTGCAAATACTAGGACTTTTAAAACCTGCTTTGGTAGGAAGCCTCCTGCTACATATCCTTGCCTGAGGGAACAGACTCTGCTGCCCAGAATCAGAGATTAGACACATCAGAGACTCCTGGGTGTGCTCTTCTGGTGGCTCCGGTCTCTTCCCACTGTCACCAGCAGGAGGCAGGAGTGGGTGTGGCAATCGCGTATAGTCTATTGCACAAGTCCAGTGCAGGGTCAGAGCTCAGTAAATCTTAGCTACTGGTGCCTTTCTTATATTTATACGATGGACACAATAAACACAAGTGAACACAGAAAACATATCTGTGCAAAGTTAGGACTTACGAGTGCAGGAGGAGCTACAGGGCTACTCACAGGTACCTCGTACCTGAGGGGAAAGAACAAAATCTTCACAAGCACTAGATAGTCATCATGACCTCCTTCTGGAAGGGGTGAGGAGTCCAAGGAAAATGGGCAGGAAGCATAACTGTCACCAATAACAAAGGAGCCTCTCCAGCAGAGACGATGTCAAACTTTTGGATTCTTGCCAAGCTAAGAGCTAAGAAAGCTGCCTGCCTGGTTTTAAAGAACATTTACTATGTGTGACATTGATCATGTTTTCAGATACCCAAGGTCATCTGCATTTCTTTATCTGTGAACCAACCTTCCAACCTTCCTTCCTTCCTTCCTTTTTTAAATCCTCACCAGATTGATTTTTTAGAGTAGAGGGGAGGGAGGAGGGGGGAGAAACACCGATGTGAGAGAGGCGCGGATGGGCCGCCTCCCGCAGGCACCCCGACAGGGCAGGGCATCGAGCCTACAAGCCAGGTCCACGCCCTGACTGGGAACCAACCCCGAGGCCCTTCTTCCCTTCCGAGGGCCGACGCCCTGGCCGCCCAGCCAGGCCGGCGGGCCTTCCGTGGACCTTCCTTATCTCCTGTTCGCCCTCCTGAGGGCTGTGGGTCTTCTCCGTCATTTTTCTAAAAGCCGCCTATAGTGTAAGGACAGTCTTCCTTTTCCTACGACGCGACTGAACATACTGTCGTCATGTGTCTCAGCTCTTTTCCGGAGGACTTTGAGACTCTTTTCATGCAGTCTTTTCTTTTTCAATCTTTCCCCTCATTGAATATGGATTTTGAGTTATATAGCAGGGAAAGTTCTCCACATTCTCGATTTATAAATGAACTCACCTAGCTTGTCTTCTGGTATTTGTCAAAATCACTGTTTTTACATTTAAATCTCTGCTCCTTTAGCTCAAGGCTTTCACTACTGATGAGAGTGGATTGATGACTTAATGTATTACCTATAGTAGTTTTTCATTGCTTTTATTGAATTTTCAAAGAATGTAATCCTGCCACCTGCAATACAGACACTGTTTCTTCTCCTCGAGCCTCTACGTGCTCGGCCTTGCCTGACGCACTAGCTGATGCCCACACGAAGTTCCAGAGCAGGGCCCCGGCCATCCCTGTCCTCTCCCCAGCTTCAGGGAGACACCTCTACTGCCTTCCCATGAAGTCAGACGCTGACGTGGGCTGAGACATATACACCTAGTTTTTCATCTTAAAGATATGCTCATCAAATTCTACTTTACTGACTGTTTTTAATCAGTGGACACTGACTTTCGTCAAACGGCTTTTCTGCGTCGTGAAGATGATGACGGTTTTGCTGTTCTCCCCAGCTCTGTTACCTCCATGGATTCCACCAGCACACTCCCTCACATGCAGAGTCACATGTCCCCTTGCACTCTGGAAGCCCCCCCACATTGTCAGGACGTATGACTCTCTGCATGTGTGGTTGGAATTGTCTAAAGCCCTCACCCCTGACCACTGGATGCCCTGATGGCTGAGTCCTTACACAATGCTTCTCAGCTGGGGGTCATTTTGACTCCTGGGGAACCCTGGCAGCATCTCTGTGATGTTTCTGGTTTTCACAACTGGGGATGCTAGTGGTATCTAGAAAGCAGAGGTCAACAATGCTACTAAATAACCTAAAATGCACAGGGCAGCCCCTACAAAGAGGAATTACCCAGACCATCGTTTTGGTGGTGCTAGCTTAGGTAAACTGCAAAGCCCATGCTAGTGACCCCTGGTGTCTGAAAAGAGAGCTGGCTACTGGCTTCTATAGTGCAGACGTTTTCAGCAAGGAGACAGATCCCAAAATCTAAGGGAAAAGCAAAGATGACAAGTAGAGGAAGCAGAGCCTGGAATCATGAAATAGGGCCCCGCCCTGTTGTCCTGGTGAGGACAGGCAAGACTCCTCCCCTTGCCTGCTTCTTTCAGGTACAGTATCCGAAACTCTGGATTTGTGAGTAATAGAAGTAAATAGGTCAGAGGCCAATACAGATAAAAAACGACCCAGAGGAAGAGATCACACCTGTGGCCTGGACCCCACCCAGTCATATGCCCTGGATATGAGATATGATTGGCAAAGATTGCCAAGCTTCCCAACCAGAAAACCCAGTGTCTGGTTCGCATCTGCATCTGGAAGAGTCAGGGTCAATGCCGCGCCCAGGCGTTACCTCCCACTTGGGCTCTCCCTCACTCTCCACCAGCTTCAGGCCGTGCTTGTTCTTCAGGTGCCTGTTGAACTCCCACTTGGTGCCGTAGACAAAGCTGCAAACGGGGCACTTCAGACCACCTGAAACAGAGGCAGAAAGAAGCGGTCACAGCTCGCAAAGCGCAGTGGTTCCCCCTCCATCCAACGCCTCACATCGAAGGAATGGAGCTCACAATCCAAGCTCACCTTAGCACTGGAACAATAGCAACCGTTTATGTTTCTTAGGGCAGAGATTTTAAAACTTAACGTATTTTTCCCATTTATGGAATGAGCATTTGCAGAGAGCTCGATGCTATCCGCCCGGTATCCATGGGCTCCACATCTGCGATTCCACCAACCATAGGTTAGAAATGTTAAGAAATACTACACTGTTGCTGACGTGTGCCAGGTAGTTAGCCTTCGGGCTCTGTGTCTGTAGAGACTTCTCTTTCTTGTCATTCTTTCTTGCAGCACTTCAACTGCATTAGATATTGTAAGTAACCCAGAGATGATTTCAAGTATACCGGAGGACAGTAGTCAGGAAGACTAGACACAGACGCCAAATTCTAAACTTTGAGAATATTCTACAGGAAAGGCAGTGCAAGTGGATGCTGTTTTCTCCAACAGTCTGCACTTTTTTTTGTTTTTTAAAGGGAAAGCCTAACAAGCTTGTTTTTTCTCGGTCAGAGGAGAGCGAAACAGTTTTTTAGCCTCCTTTGTTACCCTTTATTAATCATCTAAAATGGTGCATTTTCCTATGATCACCTTTAAAACCCCCAAGGTGTGAGACTCATCTATCACCTTTCTTTCTTTTTGGTAAAACTGACGCTGGTTCTATAAAGACTAAATATGAGGCAATGAACAAAGCAAACTACCTAAGGTTACACTTAGGCTTCAACAGGACATTAAAGATTCCTTATGGGGTACTTTTTAATGGAAACTAATTGAGTGAAGAAAACATCCTTATATTATGTTTAAATTAAAATTAATATGATAATGCCCCCACATTAATTAAAACTTCAACCTTTGCCACAGTGATGTTAATTAAAGAACAAATGGAAATCTATAATCTAGACCAAAGGTATAATTCTGAGAGAAATTAATTTCTACTTCATTTCATTAAATTCTTAGGCAACTCACAGTAAAAGGTCACGGGGACGCTTGGTGAAGTTATTTTCAGGGTTAATATAAAGCAGCCACCATAAAAACTGCAACCCCCCCCTCAAACCACAATTTCCTCCTAAGGCCTGATGACCAGGCAGAAGAACAGAATTTCCGGAGCAATTTTAAAAACTGATCATGGCATCATTGGCTCTTTTTGCACCGCAATATATTCTGGATGAGTTTCAGGCATTAAACTATGTGTGCTCCTTTGTGGTGGCTGACATTATCAAAAATTCAATTTCATTTTCAATAATCTACCTCCTGGGAAGGCCTGGAACGCTGGGCTGGGGAGTCAGAGGCCGGAGGTGGTACTCGCTCACATGACCCAGAACCAGTTCCTTAGACTCTCAGGGTGTTTTCTCCATGGTGAAAACGCTAAAGTTCACATCCTTAAGAAAGGCACCGCAGTGGGCAGGAGGATGGGCCCCAAAGACACTCCCATTCCAATCCCAGCAACATGCGAACATGTTACCTTACGGCAACAGGGACTTTCAAAGGTGTGATTCGGTTAAGGATTTGGAGATGGGAGATGATTCTGGAATACCTGGATGAGGGCAATGTAACCACAAGGGACCCTATAAAAAGGAGGCAGGAGAGAAGGTCCTCGTGGTGGGACATGAGACTCTGCGGGCCATGGCGGGCTCTGAAGGTGGAGAAGGAGCTGGAGCCAAGGAGTGAGGGAGCCTCTAGACACTGGGAAAGGCCAGGAAACGGATTCTCCCTCAGAGCCTCCTGGAGTACAGACTCATTAGCAAGCCTGACTTTATCTGTGAGACCCATCTTGGACCTCTGACCTTTGGAACCGAAAGATAATAAACTGTGTTGTTAGACCCTTGCCGAGTCTGTGGAACAGACGCAGCTCAGCTATCAAAGGAGAGTGGTGCAGAGCAGCCTGATTTCACAAGATTAACAACTGAAATCTGGAATCGGACTTGGGTGACATGCTCACCTCCCATAGTCTCTCTTTTTTTTTTAAAATATATCTTTATTGATTTCAGAGAGAGGAAAGGAGACGGAGCGAGAGAGAAACATCAATGATGAGAGAGTCATTGATCGGCTGCAGCCTGCAACCCAGGCATGTGCCCTGACCAGGAATCGAACCCTGATCACCTGGATCCTAGGTCGATGCTTTAACCACTGAGCCACGCCCGGCCAGGCCCATAGTCTCTTAATTCAGTGCCTGTCCAAGGGCCCAGGCAGAGCACAGCTCAGAACCAGCAAATGCACACAGGGTAGTGATCAAGTGGGAATCACAGGTGAGCACCAAGGTAGTGGGTTCCCGGTGACTTGGCACACTGTCAGACATGGCTTTGGGACACAAGGATATCTGAATCCCATCCTAAAACCCAGCCCCACTTCCCACAAGATCCACAAGAAAAACTGCGTAAGGGAACATATAGCAGAGAAAGGCAATGTGCATTTTATTGTTGGACAGGCTGATGTCCAGAACCCAATGTGGGCAATTTGGTAAATGGAGCTCAAGCAAGGTCTCCCCCATCCCTCTTGGTCCCCTCACACACTCCCTCAAATCGTGGGATCTGAGAGCCTCCTTACAACCTCGGGGAAGCAGAAGAAAAAGAAAGGAGGTCCTAGAGTCAGCCTAGAGTAAGATAAGCCCGTAGACCTGAAAACAAAGAAATAAGAGAAAGTAAACAGCACTCTGTGTGTGTGGCCTTTCAACAGGTTATCACATGACCTCTAGCAAATGAGAACCAAAAGGCACCTTACAGGAGGACCATGCCCCTCCCCTTGCCCCTGGCCTCTCTTCCTCCTCTTTAACAAACTTCAGGGACATCTGCCCATGAAAGGTAAGGAATCAGACTCTATCCAGAACTGCATTGGGCTCAGCCACCTGCTCACTCCATGGCCTGGGCTGCTCATCTGCCCTTCCCTGTGCCCTCAGAACAGGAGCTGTGCTGGACCTGTCTGGAACCAGCTCACCAGCCTGCTATGCACATCTTCCCAGTTCAGTGACACCACACTAGTAGCTTAAAATTGGCCATGGTGGAACTATTTACACCACAGAAATTGGCAAATGCTACAAAACAGGTTCCCCTGCCCCGGCTGCTGGGGGAGCCAGGTGTTAAGCATTAACAGCACACATTCCAGGGGCTTCTGGAGCCCGCTGAAAATACCCCAACTCTGGAAAACACCATAGTCCCTTCCCACAGAAACCTACAAGGGGTAGAGTGTCCAAGAGGGCACATCTCAGCCTCTGAGGCCTTCTCCCAGCTCCTCCGCAGCTCACATTGGCACCCTTCCCACGTCGCCAAGCACAGTGGGCAGGAGAGTATTCGCCANCATAGTCTCTTAATTCAGTGCCTGTCCAAGGGCCCAGGCAGAGCACAGCTCAGAACCAGCAAATGCACACAGGGTAGTGATCAAGTGGGAATCACAGGTGAGCACCAAGGTAGTGGGTTCCCGGTGACTTGGCACACTGTCAGACATGGCTTTGGGACACAAGGATATCTGAATCCCATCCTAAAACCCAGCCCCACTTCCCACAAGATCCACAAGAAAAACTGCGTAAGGGAACATATAGCAGAGAAAGGCAATGTGCATTTTATTGTTGGACAGGCTGATGTCCAGAACCCAATGTGGGCAATTTGGTAAATGGAGCTCAAGCAAGGTCTCCCCCATCCCTCTTGGTCCCCTCACACACTCCCTCAAATCGTGGGATCTGAGAGCCTCCTTACAACCTCGGGGAAGCAGAAGAAAAAGAAAGGAGGTCCTAGAGTCAGCCTAGAGTAAGATAAGCCCGTAGACCTGAAAACAAAGAAATAAGAGAAAGTAAACAGCACTCTGTGTGTGTGGCCTTTCAACAGGTTATCACATGACCTCTAGCAAATGAGAACCAAAAGGCACCTTACAGGAGGACCATGCCCCTCCCCTTGCCCCTGGCCTCTCTTCCTCCTCTTTAACAAACTTCAGGGACATCTGCCCATGAAAGGTAAGGAATCAGACTCTATCCAGAACTGCATTGGGCTCAGCCACCTGCTCACTCCATGGCCTGGGCTGCTCATCTGCCCTTCCCTGTGCCCTCAGAACAGGAGCTGTGCTGGACCTGTCTGGAACCAGCTCACCAGCCTGCTATGCACATCTTCCCAGTTCAGTGACACCACACTAGTAGCTTAAAATTGGCCATGGTGGAACTATTTACACCACAGAAATTGGCAAATGCTACAAAACAGGTTCCCCTGCCCCGGCTGCTGGGGGAGCCAGGTGTTAAGCATTAACAGCACACATTCCAGGGGCTTCTGGAGCCCGCTGAAAATACCCCAACTCTGGAAAACACCATAGTCCCTTCCCACAGAAACCTACAAGGGGTAGAGTGTCCAAGAGGGCACATCTCAGCCTCTGAGGCCTTCTCCCAGCTCCTCCGCAGCTCACATTGGCACCCTTCCCACGTCGCCAAGCACAGTGGGCAGGAGAGTATTCGCCAGCAGTCGATGGCTTTGCCGTGTCACTCTGTGACACCGTTTAAACAAGGAATCTCTACATTTGCTTTATGGAGACTATAACATCATTCGGAGAAAAACATTCTATTCATGGTTCCTCACTATGTTATCATTTTAACACAGTCCTCTGCATCACACAAGAAATTACAGTCCTGTGAGGATATTTTTTAAGGAGTAGGATAAGAAAATAAACCCTGTGGGGATGGGGACAACTACCTGAAATTAATCAAAAGAAAATGAAAAATTCTGTGGTACCAAGTGACTGGGCATTTTCAAGCCCAGAATTTTACCCAGTCCCACTTTCTGCCTCTTCCCTTCTCTTTCCCTCTCCCAGACAGGAAAAGAGGGCAGGCTTCGTGCTCCTGACATTTCTCATTTGTGTTCATGGCCAACCAGCTACCCCATTTCAGGGACTGTTCTCCCACCAAAACACAGGCTCTTAAGGGCCAACAGACATTTAGTTGTTTTTTCCTCAACATGTCCCTTTGCAGGGGGGATGGTAACACACACACATATATATATGAAATACATCTAATATATACATATCAAAAAAGAAAACCAAAAATACCCCTGCAGAGATTAAAAATGAAATCTGGACCCTGTTAGGGAATGCCAACTTACTCTAGAGAGTCTTAGAAAGTTAACTGAAAACTTAAAGCATGAAACACTTTGACTTCAGCACATTCTCTACAAGGCAATGATGAAAACTCGGAAGCCCCGAGCAATGACCGTATTATCAATCTGATGCCCACGCCTGTCCCAGCAGCCACAGTAAACGTCTATTTCCTGCCAATCCCACCCAAGGGAGTGAAGGACGTTAAAGGGATCTCTAGTCTGCTACTCTGTTATTTACTGTGACTCTAAGACATCCATTCTCTCCTCTGTGATTCCCCAACATTGTCAAAAATGATGCAGCTGTTCTAGAGGTCTTAGATAATTTCAGAAAAACACTACAAAAGAAAGGAATAAAAACATATTGCATGCCGAACCGGCGTCCTCTCATTCCATCCTGTCCACCATCACACGAGGTGGCGCCTGGGGACTCCACTCTTAGGTGAAGGGCCTGGGGTGTAGAGGTTTGGTAACCAGCCGAAGTGCCCAGCTAACGCAGACCCATGCCCACCTCCCGTCCTGCTCCACGAGACTGCCTTTGAAGAAAACAGAAGGCACGCAGGCGCCCCGTCACTCCAGATGGATGGCTGTAAAATTACTGAGTCTTTTATGCTGTTCACCCATTTCCATACATCAGCCCTGTCACGGAAAGCGCTGAAGGATACAGTCAATTCATTTGTTTTACATTAAGATGCATTTTATGGCGATTCCAGCAAGCGGAGCTTCACGCCGCATCAGAAAACTGAGCATCTCAGAGTTTGCAATTCCACAGCCCTGTTTATGGGGGGAAATGTCTAGAACTGTCTTCGGCTTCACACAGACACAGGACTCGGGAAAGAGTAGCAGCTGAAATACTGCAGGCTGCAACCATTTTTTAGTTGAATTAACAAAGTGCACATATAAATACAATGGCATTTCTCTGTATGGTGATAGTGTATGTGCTAAACCCTCTCAAGTGGGAATACATGATTACTTATTGAAAATAGAAGCAAAAGAAACCCTCCAAACTTCTCAATAATATTAGAGGTTTCATCCATTCTCTTTAGTTTAAATGTTCTGAATGGTTTTTCCTTTTCAGGATAAGTAATCTGAGGACTCAATAAATATTTTTGGGTACTCTAAAGAAGCTCACCTATAAATATGTTTACCACAGTATTCTTTACAATTGTAATAAGAGAAAAACCTGGAAACCCTACAGTGTTTACCCACAGGAGCACGGATAGATGAGGCACTGTCCCCTGGTGCTGTGTTACAGAGAGCCCTTAGAAAGTACAATTAAAAAAACAAAGGGGAACGACATGTCCACGTTAATCAAGAGAGCAAGCCGTGACCTTCCATTTACGCAAAATGAACACCTGGGCCCCAGGAGAAGGCAATGCAGATAATTGAGCATGAACGGGGGGGGGG